CTATCCTAGTTTAAAGCCTGTAAGGCAAATAAGTAAAAATGAGGCACAAGCAAAAGTGGGAGAAAATGATCAAAATATCAGCCGGGCTGCCGCAGAGGAGCACAGTGGGGAGCATTCTTTTTTTCCTCCTTCATCTCTGTGGTTTTCAATTTTTCTAAAAGGAGCACATATTACTTTTATGAGAAAAAACAGAACATTAAAAATACAAAATAACATCAGTTTTTCTAGCAGCATCACATATAAGGAACAGGCACAGTTACGGTGGCACTAGGATAGAAGTACACTTAAGCCAGAGATGTCAAGAGATGCAAAACCAAATCCCATAAATAAAATAAAATTTGCAAAACGAACTTTGACTTGTGCTACATTAAAAGCAAATGCTTCGTAGGAAAAGTAATACTATTACTATATCATAACCATTGAAAATAGATGTTACTGAGAACAGGAAGTGAATTGGGTGGAATTCTATAGAAAGGGCAAGTGACTGAATGAATTGGGCTGTGATCTGAATCCCCGCATCTAAGTAAATACAGGAAGGGAAGTTAAGGTAAAGGACTTTTCTTTCTCACTACTACTCATGGTTAGGCTTATTTTTTCTGTTCTTTATCTTCTTTTCCCCACCTCATGTATTTCAAAATAGATTACAGATCTTCCTTTAATCTTTTCATTCTGTCCTGACAGAGATTCTACCATTGTCTTTGGCTTCCTTCTCCAGCATCTGTCTATAATTTGTTCCAATTAAATAAGAGTACGTCCACTCAAGGATGGATTTGGCCTTCAACATGAACACATCTACCCCAGGAAACCAAAGACCTAGAAAGGATCATGATAGGCTCAGTGAGAGCAACGGCCCTCTGAGGAGGCAGAACCCCCCAGTGCTAGCCAGCGCCGGCCCACGGTTTCCAGAAGGATGGAAAGTGGCCCTCTCTCTGGGGTCACTGGTTCATCTCTCAAGCTTTGGAGTGACAGGTAACAGCCCCTGTGAAAGACTGTGTTCATAAGGCAGACTGAAAGCCTGTGAGGAGGAGAAAATGGGCCTTAAATGGCAGGCGACGGGCAGATGATAAACTCGTGAGCTCTAGAAGGATCACCACACTTAGCACAGAATTCTGTACCCGACAGATGTTCCATAAAAATCCACTGATTAAGCCAGGTGAAATCTGTGCGCAGTGAAAACTCAAATAATTATAGTTCTAACGTTCAACTACCAGAGGCCCTTTAAAACTGTCTCATTATTTTTGTGCCTATACACTGATACTTTTTGTAAACCAACTCTTGAATCGTTTAATAATACTTTAATTTTAAAACAAGATTTCCAGGGCCGGCCGAGTGGCACGATGGTTAAGAACTGGCTTGGGACGCCGGAGGGCCCCGGTTCGGATCCCACATATGAGGTCCAGTGACACTGCCCTCCACAGCTAAGATGCTGAACAACAGCTCAACCTGGAGCTGGGCTGCCCTGAGTCACTGGCGACGGCGTAGGCTGCAGCCCCTGTGGCAGTGGGTTGCCATGGGCTACCGTGAGCGGCCAGCAGCCAGNGGCAGTGTCACTGGCCCTCATATGTGGGATCCGAACCGGGGCCCTCTGGCATCCCAAGCCAGCTCTTAACCAACACGCCACTCGGCCGGCCCTCTCCATAGGTATTGATTGTGAAAGTCTGGGCCAGGGAGTACATTTTAAATTCTAATTATGTTTGACTGAGTGATCGATTGATTGATTGATTTAGAGTTTCCCACCCCAATTAATTCTATCGATAATTATATAATTTATTGATTTATTAGTTTTTTACAACATGGCCTTCATCTCCCCTAAAAGCATCACTTTTTTCCATCTGTCTTACAGATAAAGTGACATAAGAGATACACATTCCTTTGGAACTATTAGAAGTGGTGCTGAGAGAAGCTGGACCCATTCTTCATTTAAAAGTTTTTTAACAATTCACAACCTCCTACCTCTGGGTCCTCAGCATCAATCTGGTTTAGGTGGATGTCTTCTGTTGTGAGCCACTGGACAACAACATCCTGGATTAAAAAAAATAAACCAGAATCAGACACTTGGTTATTTGAGAAAGCCGCAGGCAGGCATACAAAATTAAATCAATCAAGAAAAAGCCATACAGGGAAAAAGACTAAACCAGTGAATTGAAATAGGATAGTCACCCTTCTCTTTGTGAAATCATATGAAAACTTCAGCTTTCCTCACAACACTGCCACTTTTATTATCGAAAACTTATCATCTTAGGGCACTCTAACATCTAACCACAAGCCAGAATTTACTAAAACGCTCCCAGTCCCAAAGCAATCCTGTTTGATATGATGATGATGGTCTGAACTTAAAAAGTAGAATATATCTAGATCCCTCCAGAGTGTGTCTAGTGACACTGGAACTTCATGTGGATGACACAGAAACAAGAGCTTACTTCATCTCCCAACACACAGCATCCTGAAGGCCTCTAGGTCTCCAAGGCTGAAGGACTTTATTTCATTAAATGGAAAAGCTCAGTGGGAACTTCTTCCTCGGCAAGTGACTCACCGGAACCACCCCGATGCACAGCTTTGGCACGCACGTTCGAGCATCCTTCACACTATTCTAAGGAGCAACTGTAATGCCTGTGCCTCAATCCCCACGTCAATCAGTGACCAGTCCTATCGTAACCGCTCCTACACACACTCGTGCCCACCAGCCCCTCCCCTCCCTCACACCGTCATGCCTTTCCCACAGGTCCTCGTCCCTTCTCGCCTGGCTGACTCCACCAGCCTAACTGGCACCAGGCTGCCTCCTCCTTTCCACCTTCCATATACCTGACAGGGGTCTTTGTAAAACACAGATCTGATTATGCCCAAGGGTGCTGAGCACCCTAGGGACCCTGTGACTTTCCGCAGAAAGTTCAAGCTCCTGGGCTTTACACGAGGCCCTGGCTGGGTCTGCTCCTCACCACTTCCACAGGGCCAGCTCCCACCCCACGCTGGCATGCTTAGAAACGCTTGCCCATCCTTCTGGCTTTACTTCTCTGTCTCTCACAGGCTCCCTCATTGTATTATATAGTCTCAAAGTAGATACTATGCCTGAGCCAACTTTGCATTCTCAGTGCCTGGCACACATGGGCTCTGAGCAGCTGGTTTTACATGAATAGATGAACTTGGCAGTATTTTTTTAAATGACACGAAAATTGCACTGACACGTTACACATTAGTGTGATGAAAGAAAAGCTTGGGGCGGATGGGTAGCTCAGTTGGTTAGAGCACGTGCTCTTAACAACAAGGTTGCCGGTTCGATTCCCGCATGGGATGATGGACTGCATTCCCCCACCCTCCAAAACTAGATTGAAAACGGCCACTGGACTTGGAGCTGATGGGTCCTGGAAAAATACACTGTTTCTCTTCCTCAATTCCTCAATAAAAATCTTAAAAAAAAAAAGAAAAAGAAAAGCTTACCATGATTTTGCTGTTTTCTTCTTTATCCAAATATTGGTCACTGAACATGTGACATGAGCCAAGCACTGCCAGCTTCCCGCCTTGGTTCTGTCGATGACAAAGCAGTGTCAGAGGCTCAGATCCTAAACACACTGCATGTATCCTAGTCCCCAAACCCTTATCACAATCACGTGAGCAACTGTCTTATGTATGAATCAGTGTCAGTTCTCATCAGGATTTTAACAGTCTGGAAGTATTAACTATGATAACCACATTTCAATCCGCTTCCCATTTTAGACACTTCTACATTCTATCTGACTTTAACAAAAAGCCCTATGAATTGGATCTACAGCATTTTCCCATTATTAGTTATCTTATGAATGAAGATCATAACCTTAAAGGGGAAAAAAAGATAAATCCAAAGATAATCTATAGAGTTAAAAACACTTACAAGTACCAAAAATAGTATCTAACTAAGATCCAAACAGAAAACTAAGCAACGAGCATGATAAATTCACACAAAAAATAACTGGTTCATAAAAAATAAAAAAAATTTAAAAAAAAATTTAGTATTAGTAATTTTAAACAAATCAAAACAAAGTATTTTTGCCTATTAGATTATTAAATATAAAAAAATTACTACAAACAGTGTTGGTCAGGTGTCAATGAAGTAAGTTCTTTCAAACATTGTTGCTGAAACTCTCAACAAATGCAAAAAAAGCAGTCTGAAATATACAAAAACTCTGTGCACTGTTTGATAGTCATAATCACAGAGAGTTAGAAA